AGGAGCAGGAACCACGGAAGGGGAGAGCTGGGAGCAAACCCGCGCGTCAAATGTCCCGCGCGGTGGAGGCGAGGCGTGGGATCCGCTCCTGAGCGCGCCCCTGCCCCGGCGGCTCCCGAGCTGCCCTCGCTGCAGCCCTGGCTTTAGTAAGCGTGTCCTGGCCGGCTGGGGCTCACCTGGGACCAGCGCACCCGTCAGAGCTGGAAGCAACTCTTCCAGTTGCTTCGGGTAGTTTCGGTCTTCAGAGGGAGAAAGCCAGGCTGTCAAACTTCTGCAGCGGTCGGAAGTCAGTGCCTGCCAGTACGGTGCTGTCCTGTACAGGCAGATCTTTAGGTTTGGTTGGTTGCCTGTGTAATGCAGCTGCGTTTTAATTGCTAAAAAAACCAGCTATACATTGAGATTAGTTTGCATCTGTACAGCAGTGCTCCTTCTTTGTTTGTGATGCAGTTAGGAGGAAAAGGCAAACTTCTAAGAGCATATAGCATGAATAGTTTTGTTATGGGTGGGTGTATCTACAGCTGTCAAAACCGAGAGGAGAACAATGCTTTAGAAATCTGTATCTAACATTTGAGCTTTAGTTGAGGTTTAATTTAAGAGCTGTAGGATCACATTGTGTATTTCCAGCACACAGGTGCATATGCTCAGAAGCTGCTAAATGTAATGAAAAGGCTATTTTTAATTGCACTTTGGGTCAAACTCTCCAAGCTAAAGCTAACAGGCTCTTGGAGGCATCTTGTGTGTGCAAGCACATCCCTACATTTGTCTTGAAACAAAGATTTACACACTTGGCTGCACTTGTTAACGGGTTTTGTGTGTAAATCTCTGTATATGCAGGTAAGAACATGTCTCTCTACAAACTGATTCCAGAACAATGCAAGTTATTTGTGTACAGTTGTTTTAGAGGCTCTAATGCTAGTGTGTCGAGAGAACTTTTTGTAGGGTGTTTGGTTTTTTTTTTTGTTTGTTTGTTTTTTTGGTAGTGTGTCAAGAGAACTTTTTGTAGGGTGTTTGGTGTTTTTTTTTTGTTTGTTTTTTTTTTTTGTAGCAAACATTCAGTTGCTGAATTTGGGTAATTTTTTTAGTCACTGATGGAGTACAGTCACTGACCATTTTGGTGATGTCTTATTTGAAGGAAGTTCATGTGCAGAACTGAGCTGTGCTATTGGGCTTTTGGTGAAACCGTATCTTCCAGGAAACGATAGCCAAGTAGCAGTACTTCCAACGTTTTGAAAAAGCTTGCCTGCCTGAAGCGTACCCTGAAATATTTCATCTACCTGTTATAATGTAGATTGTACAGGCATATGCAATACAGGAAAGCTCTTAGTCTAATGAGTTATATGAATATCACATAACACTTCGTTATTTTAAGGAATAGTGAAGGATACTCATCCACGAGATGCATTTTGCATTAGTAGTCTCAGTGCAGGAGTCCACGTGTGGGTGAGGAAACCCAGTCCCATAATCTTCTAGCTGAAGCTTCTGCATTTAAGTGGCACATGTGGCAAACTGAGTAGAGGTCCAGCTTTTAAAACAATGTGTAATATGTGAATACTGCTTACTCAAACTGTTCCTAGATGCACATAAGGCTCTGGGGTTTTAAAAGAATACAGGCTTTACCCCCATATTTCCCTGAAGCATTTCAAAGCATGAGATGAGTCTCATGTCGCTGTATTATGTGGCTAATACTTGGCTGGTAGAATATAGGATAGGATTTGAAGCCACTCCTAGCCATTTATGTACTATCAGGTCTGTTAGCTGAAGTTGTATTAATTAGGTAAAGATTTGCTAGACAATAACAACCAAAGATAATTAGTATGCTTATGGCAGAATATTCTGATATACTGGCAGGAGAATTTTTTTTTTTCTCTCAAGGACCCCCCCCTCCCCTGCCACAGGTACATCGATAGGTCTGGTACTAATAATAGTAGTTGGCATTTTTTCAAACAAGAAATAGTGTTATTGAATTATTGGGCAGTGTGTGCTGTTCACCTGACTTCTGTCTAGCTTATCTCTCTATCTTATATAAGAATCAACAATTTGAGCTCAAGCTTACATTTAAAATATTAAGTCTAAGTCTTAAACAGACCTGTTTCTGGAAAATTGCTAATTTATGCTTCAGTCATGATAATCTGGAATAAATAGAGACTCCACTGCTCTCATTCCACATAAGTTAAATACATAATTCCTATCACTCACTTAGAAACTGTTCCTGAAACTGACTTGAGTGCTGGTTGGAGCTTGTGGGAAGATTCCCATTTACTGCAGTAAGGTTGCAGCAGGCCTAGCAATAATTGCAAAATTGCAACCATTTTGACCACAGTGTCAAGAGGGCAGAGAAGGAAGGCTCCATCTTTTCAAAATGCCATTTCCTTAAGTAAAGGTTTTCTGTTTCTTTTTCCAAGTATGCTAATTTTCCTAGGATATATTTAAAACTATTATGTGCATCAAAGAATTCACATTTGGGTGTCATTTTTTTTGGCCATCTTTAATTTGGGAATTGTTGAAGAGAAGTAATATGAATGCTTTGTAATTTTAACGTAGTTAGACGGATGTTTTATGAGCACTGCTCACAGCCTCCATATCAGAATATCAGTGTTGCCAAAGAATTGATTCTTAAAGAAAAAAAATCAAAGCAGGCTCAAGAGAAAGTGCTGAGTTTGCCTTGCTGTCCCATGACATCATGAAGAGCATGAAGTGATGATAATGCAGTTTGCAAAGATGCAATTACTTTAAGTATCTTTTGGGCAGGAAAGATGCAAGCTAATCTTATTACTAATCATTTAACAGCCTATGTATTAATCATAGACGTTCTACTTTAATGACTGCTGTTTGCTGTCTTTTTGTATTTCTATGGCTTTTTAAATTTTGCTCTTTGCTATCGCTATGCATCGATAGCAGATTAAATACTGATATGTTATTTTAAAGCAATACGTATCTATTTTGGTGTAAAAGCATTTAGAGATATAAAATGCTAAATGAAGAAAAACATTTGGTGGGTCATGAAACAGCAAGAGCTGCCTCTAAACTATAGTTGTATTTGCTTCAGATGCCTTTAAGGATGTGGATATATTCCTTCGCAAAGCTTATGACCGGATTTGAGTTGCTCATAAAATATTGTAAAGTAAGATAATTAAAGAAGTATCTTCATGGGCAATGAATTGAATAGAGATAAAAAACCCTTTCTCAAAAGGCACAATTTAATTTAGTTCAATTGGCTTGGCCTGCTTATTGCACCTGAGTTTTGCCTGTCAGGCTTTAAGTATTTTCTGTAGATGAAACCTTCTACTGTTTTGTTTTGTTTTTTTTTTTTTTTTGGGGAGGGGCATGAACAGTTAATTTTAAGCTACATTTCTAGCTCAGAATTTGAGAAAGTATAATTTGAAAAAAGACTGCCAGTCTCATGTACAGAATACACATGCAACAGTTGCGTACTGAACACAACATTTTGTTGTCAATGCCCAGCATTTAGTTCCATACTGGAAAAGCTTTTAATGGACACGCAA